CTCAATGGACGAGGTGCAGGGGCACAGGTGTCTTCCTTTTTGCCGACTTGGCAGCTGGCCATTGACCAGAAAGGTGGGTTTGCTGGCTCCCGGAGCTGCTGAGAACAAAGGGAAGTGGGGCAGATGCTGGGGACGACGAGGGGACGGGTGGCCTGCACTCTGGGCACCTTGCAGCCAGCTCCGCTGCCCCGGGTGGGTGGAGACGACAGAGGGACGGAGCCCCGACAGCCGAGAATCACTCAGCCAAGAATCACGGAGTCTGCTCAGACACGGCCCTTGGAGAAGAGAACAAAACAAAGGGTGAGAGAAAAAACACCCGAGTAAAATACCTACTTTTGTTTTTCTCGCGTCTCAGATGAAGGTGTTTTCCCTCATATTCTGAAAAACTGTGAGAAAGACTCCCCTGAATTATGAGGATTTGGGACCAAATCCACATTGTCTAACACATAAAACAGCCTGCCGGTGCGTGTGGTGACAACAGGCAGCACTCTGGTCGTGCCTCAGTTTCTGGGGACTTTTCCAGTCAATTCCACAACATTTGCAGTGGTGGTTGCTGAAATTCTCATTTACCTTTTTTCATTGAGGAAACAGAGGGGCCGTGGCCTGTGAAGGCCCCGTCCATGGCTGTCCACACCCGTGGAGACAATTCGCTCCTACAGGAGTGACAAATGGGGGTGAAGGCCCATGGCCTGGGGCTGGCGGGGGTGGGGGTCCATCCACGGGAACACGGAGGTGCCAGCCACCATTGCTTGGGACCCACCGTCACCGTCGTCACCTCCGCATGTGGGGCTCCAGGTCCCCGCTTGGGAAGACGACCAGGACCAGAGGGAAAGGAGCTGTGCCGACGCCACACAGCTGCCGCCTGTCATCCAGGGCCCTCCTGGACCTGAGGGGCAGGTGTGCGTGGGGGTCGTGGGCCCTGTGGGGGCCAGAACACAAGGCCTGGGCTGGGAAGTGAGTCCCCGAGGTCCTGCCCACAGCACGGGCGTTCGGTGGGGCAGCTGTGGGCGGGCGTGTCTGTCGGCAGGAGCTGGTCAGCTGCTGGCCTCCGCTGAGGCTTCCTCAGGCCACATCCCTTCTGGTTGGTCTGGGAAACTCCGGCAAGTGGAGAGGCAGCACGGGCACGAGGGGAAGAGGTTTCTGCTCACAACAAAGTTGTCCCCAGAAGAAGGAAGGGGAACCGGATAGCCTGGGAACCAGTAACAGGAGAGGCTAAGTCTTAACCTGCGTCGACCAACTGCTTGGATCTGGCTCGCGGCACAGGACCAAAGGCCTCTGCCGCCTGACAGCTGTTGGGGACGGATACGGAATGAGTACTGGTCTCGTTTTAGCACAGAGGACAGCTGTGTCCTGGTCACGGCCCGGTCTGCTGACAGAATCAGTCAAGGGGCCGGGCCCAGGGTGGCCCTCTTCACGCTCATTAATCCTCTCATTCATCTCTTGCAGGAACAGCTCTTGATCCTCCTGTGAGTGCAGCACTGTGCCGGGCGCCCAGGAAACACGGAGCACAGGACAAGTGTCTTCCTGGGGTCCAGCGAGTCCCCCCCACACGGTGCTGTCAGTGTGCCTGTTTGGGGACAGGCCGCTGCTCTGCCCACCGCTAACGGTGCACTTGCTGGAAACCTCAGCCTCTCTGCTGAGCCAGGATGGAAGGGCAAATGGTGTGAGTCAGGCTTTAAAACCCTGCCAGAAACCAGCTTTCAATAGCTTGTGTACGTGTTTTTCATGTTGGCAAATTTTGAGGAGAACGTTGTCTGTTCTAGGAAGAATTTTCTATTGACAACTATCCTCCTAGTTCATGCCAGCGATTACTGGGACAATTCTTGTCCTCCGATATCAAGTTGTCCCCAAAACGGTGGTTTTACAGGGTTTGCACCACGGGGCCCAGGCGGCAGCAGTGACCGGCAATCTGCTTGTCGTGGGGACACAGTGTAAAGGCTGAGTGTGAGTCTGTGGGGCCCACGCACAGCGACTCGGGCAGCGTGGCAAACACTGACGAGACCTAGACACAACCTTGAGCTGTGCCCGTTCCATAGCAGCCTGCCCCACAGGAATTGCTCTGTCTAGCGTCAGACCGTTTGCTCAGCACATTTATTGAGCACCAAGTGTGTGCACGCTTTCACAGGACAGCAGCCCACCCCAAGCGCACACTTTGGACATGTTTTGGAGACCTTTCTGAACAAGTGCTGTCATTTCACAGAGACCAGGGGCCACCGCGGCAGGCTCCATGGCCAGTTTACTTGCTCTAATTAACACAAAGGCAGCGGCGGAGGGGAAGTTCAGGAACGCTGGTGTCGACAGACATTTGCCTGGATCTGCTCCAGCTGCGAGACCGAGCGTTTCCGCGTTGTGCTAACGAGCCTGTTCTCTCTCTTTGCCCTTCAATTCTGGCTCCTTCTGGCAAAGCCCCGCCAGGCAAGCCTCTGAACTCGAGACCAGCCCCTGGGGAGGGACATGCTGGGGGCTCTGACGATCTCTCACAGCTTGTGGAAAGCAGCCTCAAGCCAAGGTCCTGTGCAAAGGACCGCTGGGATGCAAATTCCGGAAAACCTCTGTGGTGCAGGAAGGCTGTTACCTGGAGATGGCCACTGAGGCCATTGCTGACAGTTCAAATCCCCCGCCTTTGCAGGTGGTGCCACCCAGATCGCTCATGCACACCTGGCTCCCAGCCCCGAGCTGTGAGTTCCTGTCCTCTGGGGGTGGTTGTGGGACCAGGCAGGAGTGGGGAGGGTCTGGTACTTTGATCTCAGACACTCTCAGGGTCATTTGTAGCTGAGGGACAAGAAGGTGAGAAGCCCCATTTCTCAGCCAAGTGCTGATGGCTTCAGTTCACAGAGGCGTGAATGGGGTCAGCCTGCACCCCTGCGCTGGGCTCTGGGGGGGGGGGCTGTGGAAGCCAGGGGAGGGACGCTGGGACAGATGGCCCCGGGAGACCCCCGGGGCATTGCCGAGGGGCCTCAGAAGCCTGCCTGCTCTCACCTACCCTTTTGTGACCCCATTTCCTGCCTCATACCCCCACCCCCAGCTGACTCCTAACTTGGTTCCACTTCTGTAAAAACTAGGGGTGCGAGGCACCCCAGCTCCTCCCTGGGGCTGGACCGTCTACCAGCTGGGCTGGGGGCAGCGTAGAGATGGGGGGATGCTGGTATCAGTCCCCCTGCAGGCCACGCTGGCTGCCATGGCCATTGGTCACTGGGAACTCAGTTTCGCCTTCGAGCAGAGGAAGCCCACGTGTAGAGCTGCTGAGGTGCGGGCACACTGCAGGTGCCATCAGGAGGCAGGGAAAGCCATGTCCGCAACCTTAAGTAGCGCTTGGCAAAGCCAGTGTCCCTCCACCCCTTCCTTTCCGGCCTTGCCACAGGCAGCCCTTGCTGGCGGAGTCCAGGCTGCGGCACCGCCGGGCCCGCCCCCGCCCCTTCTCCAGGCCACCGACGCTGGGTCCCAGTCCTGCCACGGAAGCAAGCACTGGGCGGGAAGCATCTGTGAGCAGCTGGGATGCAACGGTGCTGGGGACCCGGTTGGCCACACTTTGGGCCTCTTTGAGGAAACCTGTCTCTTCACCTCCCCGCCCCACCTCTGCCAACATCGTGCAGGCCACACAAGAGCCTTGCACGCAGCAGGTGCTCAGGAAACGCCCGTAGCTATTGCTGGCCTACTAGCTTTGTTCACATTAGTTATTTCACACAGAAGACACGGGAAGGCCAGTCCTTGTCTGTGTCACACAAGCTGGGCGGTGGTTAGGGGCTCTGGGGGGCCCAGCAGAGGCTGGGACGTGGAGGTTGTGGAACGAGGCAGCTGAGGGGCTGACGGGACACAAGGCCTCGAACCCCGGCTTTGCTCAGACGAGCTGCCTCTGCGACAACCAGCCTGATGGATCCACTGACTCTGCCCTCCTGGCGGGAAGGCGTGAGTGCGCGTGCGTGCACGTCCAGTACGCACATGGGTGTCCCCGTGTGCACGTGAGAGCATACGTGTGAACACACACTGTGTGAGTATGTCTGCATGTGTTCATCTCACACTCAGGGTGCGTGGGGGCTTTGGGGAACCACATGCCCGCACAGGTGCTGTTCCTGCCTGAGCTTCTCTGCCACATGCAGCGCGGAGCTGGGTGGAGGTTTCCCTCACCCCCCACCCACATGGGGCACCATTCATGGCTTCCTGGATTTCACTAGTCACACTGGACACACTGGTCATTTAAAATTCCTTATGCTTTGGGGAGGTGGTTTCCTTGCTCACTTATGTTTTTCTCTCTTTATTTCAGTAAGCAATGTGGACAGGCTTCTGGGGTGCTAAGAATGTGCTGTGTCTCTGTGACATGGACACAGGCAAACACAAACGTAACAATCCACGAAGCTCTGCGTGTACGTTACACCATAATGAACGATATTCATAAGAGATGCAACCAAGTAACCTGAGAAACAAAGCCAAAGCTCTATTTTATTTTTGAGGGGACATCCCTCTGTGAAGAGTGTCTTCCTGTGGCTATATGTCCAGATTCAGTTTAAATCCTCTCGTCACTAAAACACTAGCAGTCTTGTTACTGAATGTTATAAAAGCTAACATCAAAAGTCTCTGTGATGTTTACATGTGCCTTGATTTGGATGTCTTGTTTTTGCGGAATTTCTGAGTCCCTTCTCGGCACTTTCCTGGTTTCCTTGCTGGACACCCTGTCTCGAGCCGTGCTGGTCCGCGGGCTGTACCTCTGGGGGGCCCAGGGGAACTGAGAGGTGAGAACTGTGTCCAGCGGGACGGCAGCTGTGGGACAGGCCCTCGGTGTGCCTGCGGCCCTGGAGGCGCCCGGGCCACCCCGGCGGTTCTGGGACAAGCCCCTGTGGTCGGGCTCACTGCGTTTCCTCTCGGTGCGTGCACCCCACCGAGCAATCCGTCCCTCAGACATCCCACAGCGGCAACCTCACAACTGCTCCTTCGGCGCCAGGGCTGCTCCCCTCCCCGTAAGGCTGCTCCCTGTCATCCTGTCCCCTGAACAGCACCACCTGGCTGAATCCCCTCCTGTCTGCTTTTCTGGGTGGTCCCCCCGGCACGGCGCCATCACCCTGCCTGCCACCACGTCATCGTCTTGCTCGAGCATCTTAGCACTGGGGGGTCTCGGAGGGAAGACCCTAAAGCTTATTTGGGGAGTTTCTGCCAGTTCACAGACTGAGAAAGGCCACGCATCTCCTGACATCACAGCTGCTGGCCCCCACACTGTCCCCGGGGCTGGGTCCACGTGCCGACAGCCCTTGGTGTCCACCTCCACCTGCACCACCAGGGCAGCCCCTGGAATATCTCGGTCCCCAGGCCCCTCCTTGTCTTCTGGTGGCGCGGTCACTGCAGCTTTGGTCACGGTGACCACTCTCCAGGACTGTCCTTCTGGGAATCGGACGTCCCTCCTGGCTGGGTCCCAGGACCTCAGAGGCACTGGATGCAGACACGGCGGGCACCCTCGCCAGGCCATGGGTCATGTGTGACCTTCCAAAGGCCACATGTGGAAGCGTGTCTCAGGAGACATTCTGCTTCTTGCAGGGACTTCAGCGCCCTGGGAGAAGGGGCGAGGGTCGTGAGGTTGGGTGAGGACCCCAGTGACTGAGCCGCTGGGCAGACACGGTCCTGTGGGAACCCCCGGCACCGCCAGTCCCGGGTACCCACGCTTGCTCCATGTCTAGCGGAAGTCACACTCTCCCAGTGGTGTGCCTGCCGCTGCCAGGGCCTGAGTTGTCCCCTGTCCTAGCCGACTGTTTACCCCACTTCCCAGTCCAAGTGTGGCCCTAACTTCCTGCCATTGTCTCTTCTTGTTTGGGGGCCATAGCAGCACAGTTCCTCCATTCCCCGTCTCGGGGCCAGGCTTAGAGAGCGTGACCCCCACTGCCCAAGTGAGGGAACACCGATCAAGTGCACAAGGTCTCCGGGTCTCCAGGGGAGGGGTCCCTCACAGCCTCCTGGGCAGAGGGAGTGCAAGGAGGGGCTGTTGCTGGGTGGACAGGAGCCCCTGGGGTATTTCAGCACCAGGAAGCCTCTGCCTATACCTGCTCTGCCCTCAGTCGCCCCCAAGGGAGGTGTTGGCTGGTCATGGTCACTTTGGGAGGGTCACAGGAGCCAGCGCTGGAAGGACATGAACAGAGGCAGGAACACAGGACAGGGAAGGGCTCTGTGGAAGGCCATGGGCTCTTGTGCCTGTGGAGGTGTCACTGTGGGTTTTGGATTTCTTTAATTGTCCAATAAAAGTTGCACCAAAGTACGAATGCTCTACCATTCATCTAGCCTTCAACAAATACTTGAGTCCCTACCTTGTGCTCAGTATTGTGCATGTTATAACACGCTTTGTTTTTCTTAGAGGGTAATTTAGCATTTCTTAGGCTGTCTCTGAATGTAGTTTTCTCGCACTCCCAGGCATGCTGGGAATTTTGCTGTAGGTCCTAGTGTTGGGCCAGATCCCCAGATCCACTCATGTCCAGGCCCCTCCTGTGCTGTGGTTACAGCAATAGGGTGGCAGCCTCCCGCCTGATGAACTCATGCAAATGTCATAGATTAAATTGTGCAGCGATGCTGTCAGCTTCTCATCATTGGGTGCCATTTGGTACAAGGATTTGTACGTATTTAACCATTTTATATGCCTAATAGCTATTTGTCTAAGAAGCTTAGCATAATAAACACTGCCGGCCACATGGGCCCTGCGTGCTCAGCGTTTCCCTCGGATTTGCAGCCTCCAGACACCACCCGTGGTCACCATCCGCCTCTGCGTCCCGATGGGGAGGGGTCAGGCGCCTGGGCACCATGTGGGATTCCTCAGCGTTTCTATGCTAACTCGTTTGTTTTTGCACAAGCAGGGGAAAAAAGGAAATGAGCTTCGACAATAGACTGCTACCAGTTTGGATCGGGGCAAAGGGAATGGTCCTCTGAGGCCCTGAAAACCACACACAGTAGGGACAGTGAGATCCATGCTGCGTCCTCGCCACTCAGTTCAGAAAGAGCAAGAGGTGACGCGGTGGGACGCGCGACCCGGGAGCGTCTCTGTCTCTTCCTTGTTTCCTTGAGGCTGGTTCCTGAGAACACCAGCCTCCAGTCCCCTCCCCTTCTCCCTCCCAGGACACACATCACCAGGGCTGCTCTCAGCCCCTAATCTCTCACCATTTTTTGCCCTGCCTCCGCCTTGGACATGTGACTCCCAGTGGCCTGGAAAGTTCCAGCATTCTGGGACCTGGCTCAGCTGCAGCTCCGTCCAGCCAGGGTCTGTTTCTAGATGGACCTGGTTCAAGAGATGAGCCCAGAAATCTAACTGTGGCCCAAATCCACCAGAGAGGGACCCCGGAGGTCATCGCTTTGGTTTCTTTGGAAGCCCACACCCACTGACCCAAAGTGTCAGGTGTACAGAAGGCCCAGGGGCTGTGCCCCTTGGTGGCCTGAGGCTGGATGCAGGGCGGGACCTGCTGGATGCTATTTTGGGGCCTCGGTTGGCTCACTGGTGTCCGCAGTGCGGGGCCCTCTGCTGGGATTCTGCCTTGGTCACCCCTCGCAGGTGAAGGCCGAGGCACCGTGCTGGGACCCACTAGAAACCAGCCAGACTGAGTCATTGTGACCTGGGGCTCACGGCTGGCTTCCCAGAGCTCAGTTTTCTGATCTGCAAAGTGGGCTAAAGGCACGTTGGATGCCCTGCCAGGGATCCCCCTCCTGGGCCCTGGGCCCTGCATGCAAGTGGTAGCAGCCGGCTGCACACAGGCCTCCAAGCTGTGGCTGCAAGGCCTTCACCGTGCCAAGACAGGAGTGCTTGGAGACGCATGCCTCTGGAAGGCAGTACTTTGACCACCCCTTGGGACAAGGCAGTCACCTTCCCAAAATGACTTTTATGGTATACATCACTGGGGGCTGCTCGGGGTCCAGTCCATGCGGGGGCGTCCGCATGATGGGGAGCAGGATGGCGGGGTGTCCAACCCCTCCTTCAGCAGCTTCTGGCTGCACCCCAGCCTTAACCCTGTCGAGTGCTCCACGGTGCAACACAGCTGCTTCGATGGGCTCGTTTGGGCCGCCACGCTGCCGTGCTAGGTGCACATGTGTTCAAATCAGAGTTGTGACCAACGGCTGGGCTGGATCTGGCTTTGTGAACGAAGGGTGAGGGCTAAGTGACTGGGTGTTGGGGATGCAGACCCCCAGCTGGGATGGGAGACCCCGGAACTCGCCCCTACCAACTTCCCCGTGATTGGAAGTGGCTTTGCAGAGATTTCACAGGAATGGCGCAAACTGGCCACCAGTGGTGCCTGGAACCCTGAGCCTTTGTGTCACTGAAGATACAAACTGGTCCCTGAGTGTGGAACGGGGTGCTGAGGTCCCCACTCCTGGTGGCCTCAGCTGACCTTTCTCAGCTGCCAAAGGCCAGCCCGGCCCCAGAATACCAGCTGCCCTGGGCTGCAGAGTCCCCGCCTCCTCTGAGTGTATGCAGATCTGTGAGTCTTTCCCTTTATCCTGGAACCATCACCTAGAGGTGTGATCCCACCCAGCTCCCTCCCTGACTGATGTCCTGGGACAGAGCTGCGGGGTGGCCACTTCAAAGCTCATGAAGGGAGGGCTGGCCGCACACCTCGGGTGTCTCAGCGTCCTCCTGGTCATCTCCAAGGTGACATCCCTTAGCCGCCTGGCCCAGGAGGCGACCAAAGTCCGGAACACATGAAACATGTCTCCGGTGGGGACCCAGTGGGGGCGCATGTGTGCAGCTGCCACCCTCAACTCAATCGCTGGCAGGATGAGACTGGGGCACAGGGTCTCCCTGCTCCTCGGGCGGAGAAGGTGCCCACCCATGGGGCCGCGGACCGGGTGGGCAGTCTCCTCAGCTGGAAACTGCTTTGTGGCACTGACACGGGAGCCCAGGGCTCCCAGAACAGAGTTAGAGCTGCTACCCAGGGCGGGGGCACTGGCCCCCCGGAGAATCGGGGCCTGGCTGGTCAGGGGCAGGTCGCCGTCATATGCACCAAGACAAGAAGCAGCGGGTGGGCGCATGCTTCCTTACCGCGTGAGCATCTACCTGCAGGGCTGCGAGGCGCGCAGGTGCTGACACGGACCGGATGCCTGCGCGGGAGACGGATGCGGGGAGCAGGCGCCTGCAATGGACACCTCCAGGTAGGGAGGGCAGGGGAGCAGAGGGAGCCTCGCTTTGCCCTGCGATGGATGAGTGGGAGGGTCCTGGCAGGGGTGTCGCCCGCCCTCTGGAGGCTGGGAGGGTGGTCTAGGGGCTCTGAGTCTGTGCAGGTGTTGTGGTCTCTGTGCCCCGTGAGGTGGTTCAGACGCTGCTGACACTGGGGCCGGGTCCCGGAGTGGGGGTGGGGGCAGCACCAGCGGGAACCGGACCCGCTGAAGCAGGGTCCCAGGCGACACGCCCACCACTGTCCCTGTGAGCAGGTGGTCGGCGAAGCAGCTGCCTCCCGCCCTGGGGCTTCCCTGGGCTGAGGTGCCCCGGCCTGCAGAGCTCGCGCAGTGCCGCCCAGTGTCTTCAGCAACGTGCTTTGCGTTTTCAAAGCGTGGCCAGCAGCACCAGCAGCTTCTCAGGCCTCGTTAAAGTGCAGGTTCTCAGGCCCACCTGGTC